CGCGGGGGTGCTGAGCCTGGGGGTGCTGCGTCTGGAGCTGCTGAGCCTGGAGGTGTGGAGCCTGCGGCCACTGGACCTCCCCTTGTGGCGTCCGGCGGTGCTGGGCCTGGAGGTTCTCCGGGTGTTTCGTCTCGGCGGGAGCCACTCTCTCCACAGGAGCTGCGTGAGTGGTTTGCTCGCCGCTGGAGGCGTACTGCTGGAGCTGGCGCTTCTTCGACCGCTGAGGGTGCTGGTGCCGCCGCTCCCGGAGCTGCTGGGCCTGCGGGTCCGCCTGGAGCTGGAGCTGCTGAGGGTGTTGGTTCTGAGACTACTACTGTCAGTCCTGGTGGTGGTCATGCTGCGGGTGCTGCTGGTGCTGCTGGAGGTCCTGCTGCTGGAGGTGCTGTTGGCACTGGTGCTGCCGGAGGTGCTGAGGGTGCTGGTGCTGTCCCTGCTGTGTCTGGTGCTGCCGCGCGGCCTCGGCCGTACTTTGTTCCGCTTCTCCAGCAGGTTCTTGGTCTTCCTCCTCTCTTAGAGTGTCCACCGCCTGTCCAGTCGCAGTCACAGTTACCTCCGGCCTCCCCACTGCCTTCTCCTTCACCTTACACTGGTCCTACTGGAGGTCTTGCTGAGCGTCGTGAGCCTGCGTCTCGTCCTGTGTCGCTTGTTCGTGCGGCTCGCACTAGTGGTCGCAGTTCGCGTCAGCGTCCTCCTCCTGTCCCTGGCACGCACCGGATGTCTCTGTGTCCGTCTACTGCTCCTCTGCGTGCCTATTTGCCCTCTCCTCCTGAGTCCTCTCTTCCTCCGCTTGCCGACCTTGAGTCGGACTCTCTTCGTGCTGCCAGTCCTACTGTCACGCGTCTCCTTGCTACTGTCGTCACAGACCCCTCCTTTGAGTCCACTGCTGCGTCTGCTCTTGTTGCTGAGCTCGTCGCCTTTGCTGCTTGCTGTCGTCTAGACTACGCTGCTAGTCTTGTTGCTGAGTCTGCGTCTGTTTGTCCTCCGTCCGTCGGGGGTGAGTGTGCTCTTGGCACGGACGTCCTTGAGGACAGGCAGGAGGAGTTTTAGTGTCTGGCTGCTGCTTCACCTCATCTCGCGTCTGTACTGCTTGCCCCTGAGGGAGACCCGGATGCACTAGACATCCGGACTCCGCGCTCTTACGCGGAGGCCGTAGAGGGTCCCTACTCCTCTCAGTGGGAGGCAGCTATGGATGCAGTGATGGCTTCCTGGAAGTCCACAGGCACCTACGTTGACGCGGTTCCCCCTCCTGGGGCGAACATCGTCAGTGGGATGTGGATCTTCAAGGTGAAGCGGCCGCCGGGCTCTCCACCTGTCTTCAAGGCGCGGTACGTGGCTCGTGGCTTCAGTCAGCGGCAGGGAGTTGACTACTTTCAGACCTTCTCTCCCACCCCGAAGATGACCACTCTTCGGGTGCTGCTGCACATAGCCGCTCTACGCGACTACGAGCTCCACTCTCTTGACTTCGGCACTGCTTTCTTGCAGGGTAGCCTGCACGAGGAGATCTGGCTGCGCCGTCCACCTGGCTTCACTGGGACTTTCCCTCCTGGCACCCAGTGGAGCCTCCGACGGCCAGTCTACGGTCTCCGCCAGGCACCGCGTGAGTGGCACGACACACTGAGGACTACGCTTGCGGCTCTTGGGTTTGCTCCCTCTACTGCTGACCCGTCGTTGTTTCTGCGCACCGACACTTCTCTGCCGCCGTTCTACATCCTCGTGTACGTCGACGACTTGGTCTTTGCCACAGCGGACACTGCTGGACTCGCCTACGTGAAGTCTGAGCTGCAGAAGAGACACACGTGCACAGACCTGGGTGAACTGCGCAGCTACCTTGGCTTGCAGATCACTCGGGACAGAGCACGCCGCACCATGACCTTGACTCAGTCACACATGGTGCAGCAGGTCCTTCAGCGCTTCGGCTTCACGTACTCCTCGCCTCAGGCCACTCCTCTATCTACTCGCCACTCACTCTCAGCTCTGCCTTCGGATGAGTCCGTAGAGTCGAGTGGCCCGTACCCAGAGCTTGTTGGCTGCCTCATGTACCTGATGACCTGCACACGACCTGACCTTGCATACCCTCTTAGCATCTTAGCACGCTATGTTGCTCCTGGGAGACACCGACCAGAGCACATGGCTGCAGCGAAGAGGGTGTTGCGCTACTTGTGCAGTACGTCGGGCATGGGGCTAGTGCTTGGAGGGCGGAGTCCAGTGGTCCTCACTGGGCACGCGGACGCTTCTTGGGCTGACGATCAGGCTACTCAGCGGTCGTCGCAGGGTTACTCCTTCAGTCTTGGTTCCGGCTCTGTTTCGTGGCGGGCTACTCGCTCGTCTTCTGTTCTCGGCTCCAGTTGTGAGGCTGAGATCTACGCCGGGGCCATGGCTGCTCAGGAGCTTCGCTGGCTCACCTACCTGCTGACTGACCTTGGAGAGCCGCCTCGTTCTCCTCCAGTGCTGTACGTAGACAACAAGGCCATGCTGGCCTTGTGTCGAGAGCAGCGCCTGGAGCACAGAACGAAGCACATTGCTCTCCGCTACTTTCTTGCTCGTGAGCTGCAGCAGCGTGGTCAGTTGCGACTTGCGTACGTGGCCTCTGAGGCCAACACTGCTGATGTTTTCACCAAGGCACTTCCGCCGTGTGATCATCAGCGTTTCTGCACTCAGCTGGGACTTGTCCCAGTCTTGCCTCACTTGCTCACCTCTTGACCTTACTTGTACTCTTGCATATATATATATACCTGCTCTTGCTTGTTTAGACTTATATATACATGTGTCTCCTCCTGCATGTGAACTGGCCTTGTGGCCTTGACCTTGTGGTCAGACTGTGTGGTGACGTTGTGATCCACCCTGAGCTTGCTTTGCTTTGCTTTGCTTGACTGGTCTTGTGACCCCTTGTTCTCCCCCACTTTGCCGATGGGGGTGTGTCAGAACATTATAGCTTATGCTTTTGTGTAGGCTATAGTGGGGTATCCCATAGGAGGTACAACCCAATTAGGGTTAGTACTTGTACCCACTTCATTCATAGTTCCTTCATTCGCGTTCACTTTTTCACAGTTTGGTCAAATGTGTCGAAGCGCACCAAGTACGTTGCGTAACATTGTCATAACGAATGTGCAGCTGTGCAAATTCCAGGCTTCGCACTCAAAATCGCGCATCTGAACCGGAATCGCTGGTCAATCCAGGTGGACCAATCAAGTTTCGAGTTTGCACTCACACTCGCTATTACTACCCAGACACAACGTTGGCAATCGTAGACACAACCGTCAATTTGTGGGAGGCTGACCCGAAGCCTGACACCAGCCAAGAACGTACCCTTAAACATCTACGGAGCTCAGAAAATAGCAGGGGCTGAAAAAAAAAAAAAAAAACCCTAAAGGCAGGAACGCAATTCGGGAGGCATCAACCCTAAAGACGGGAAGCATAGTGTTTAGGGTTAACGCCTTGAATGTGGTGCAATATGGGGGGGATCAACCCGAAACCCCCATAAAAGTGTGCCAGGCTCTCTACGGGGTTTAGCTCGTTTGACATCGTACAAAATACCCAGCCAAATAAATAGAACATAAGACAAGCCTTATCTGCACGACCAGACTGAAATGATTAACTCGTCGCAAAATGTTTCTTTCATGAAAGGATTCGAAACCCCTAGCTGTAATCCCGCGATTCTGGCTGTAAAGCAAAATTGCACCTGTAACGACGAGATGAACACGTTTGCAGCATTAAAATATCGTGGAAGCGCGTGTAAGTCGATCCATTTGGACGACGTATGGTCGCCCTATCTGCGGTGCGAGTTTGGTCGATGAGATTGAGAAAAGTTCGCGCGCCGGCGCGTCGCTCAGTTTTGCCCCTGAATGGCCAACCTCTCATTCTGGAATCGGGCAACAAAACGGTCTGACGAATCACGATTCACGAGTTTCTGACGAATCAGGTCACGGTTCTGGGCGAAGTTTGCCCGCCATCAGCTCAAAATGGCCCTCAATGACGTTTAAAAACACCCTATCATTGGTCATCACACAAGTTTCCAGATATATTGGAGCATGGAAACCAATCAGACGTGTACTTCCGTCTACACTTGTCCCTACTTCGGATGGCGGGCGAACTTCAGAACCGCGATCTCAGAGAAATGGGAGTCTCTAACCCTAAGGTCACTGTTCTGGGCGAAGTTTGCCCGCCATCAGCCCAAAATGGCCCTCACTGACGTGTAAATACACCCTATCATTGGTCATCACACAAGCTTCCAGATATCTTGGAGCATGGAAGCCAATCAGACGTGTACTTTCGTCTACACTTGTCCCTACTTCGGATGGCGGGCGAACTTCAGAGCCGGATCTAGGCCCTGGGCGAGAAGGTTAGGGCGGGTCGTGCTGAGTTCGGTTCAATTGACTTCAAAAGGTGGTGCGCAATGGTCTGAAGCGGGTAAAACGTGGTTAACCCCGCTAGACGATCCCTGGCCCGTTTTTGAACATTCTTCGTCACGCTTCTCTCTCTCGTGAGGTCTGCGCGTCATCAGCGCTTGCCGCCCCTCACTTCCCTGACATGTCAGGGCCTCTATGGCCCTGTTCGATAGCTTTGAAGCCCTCTATGTTTCCTGTCGTTCGGTGCTCATCTGAAGATCTGTTAGAGATTACCTGCGTTTACATGTGTCAGGATCTGCATTATCAATAGCACCGGAAAACCAGCTCGCTTGAGAAGGCATCGACATGGATTCCAAACGCTAAGCGGAAACAGCTCTAATCTCTCCGACTTGGAGAAATTGGGTTTGCAAAAACATCCGAACGACACATCAATGGCAGATTTTGACACCGTAGCCTATGAAGCGAATCGAGCGGCGTCGTCTAACGGGGGTTTAGAAGTGGAGGAGGATTGTGAAGGCTTACTGACGGGGCAAGAGGAGATGGTACACTACGATATGGGGGGCGGCCGTTACCCGTCTCTGAGCCTAGAGCAGAAAGGGCGACCTTTAAAGATTCGTAATAAAGCCACACGCGCGTTGTCGTGCTTCAGCGGCAATGACAATGGCGCATTACTACGCATCGGCCGGGGAGAGCGAGAGAGAGAATGAGGAGGAGGAGGCGAGAGAAGAGGGGTGGGAAGGCGCGAGTGAGAGTGGGAGAGACGACAGGAGTGATCTCGATTCGGCGGAGGGGGCGGAGGAGGCGGAGTGGGCGGATGGGGCGGAGGAGGGGGAGTGGGCGGAGGGGGCGGAGGAAGCGGAGTGGGCGGAGGGGACGGGGAAGGCGGACAGGGCGGAGAGGGCGGAGCTGAGTGCGTCTGCTGATGGCGGGTATGCATGCCGCGGATGGGATAATGAGACAGAGATGGCAATGCTGGCGAAATCGGTTGCGGAAGAGGGGGTCGCGGAGAGGGGGGTTGCGGAGAGGGGGATTGCGGAAGAGGCGAAAGGGCCACATTGGGGCGAGTCGTGGGTGTCGAGTGTGGAGTGGTTCGTGTCGTGGCCGCTCAGGCGACTCAGCCACCCGTGGCGCAAGGTTAGCCGTGATTAGTACGAACGCGGTGTGTGTGTGTGTGTGTGTGTGTGTGTGTGTGTGTGTGTGTGTGTGTGTGTGTGTGTGTGGGTGTGTGTGCGTGTGCGTGCGTGCGTGCGTGCGTGGGTGTGTGCGTGCGCGTGTGCGCGTGTGTGCGTGCGTGCGTACGTGTGTGTGTGTGTGTGTGTGTGTGTGTGTGTGTGTGTGCGTGTGAGTGTGTGAGTGTGTGTGTGTGTGTGCGTGTGAGTGTGTGAGTGTGTGTGTGTGTGTGTGTGCGCGCGCGTGTGCGCGTGGGCGTGCGCGGTGTGCGCGCGGTTCGTCTCGAGGGATGACAGGCTCTCAGAGTCATTTGCGTCTTTCCCTCTCTCCCGTGTCCACCACTCACACTCTCCCCTCACTCCTCTTCCCCCTCGCTCTTCCATGCCCCTCTCCCTTTTTTCCCTCCCATTTGCTGCTACGGGTGGGTTTGGATGTGGGCGCTGCTGTCTTCTCAGCGTCTCTCCGTGCTCACACCCTCCCCCCCCCCTCTCTTCCGCTCCCTCCCTCCCAGCGTCTGCTGTGGGTGTGGGTGCTGGTGGCAGCGGCCATCCTGTCGCTGGTGTTTACAGTGGCATGGCGGCACGCGCAGGCGAACGAGAGGGACGACTTGGAGGCACACTGCGACGAGTGGGCGGCGTTCATACAGGCCAAGTTTAACATCATGGCTGCCAACACACGCTCCATCTCCGACTTTATCCGCGCTTATTACCTCGATAAGTAAGGCCAGAACAGTCTGTGCTTCGCTTCGCTTCGCTTCGTTTCGCCTGCTCTCCGTATGCTTCCTTTTCTTCGCTTCGCTTCACTTCGCCTATCCGCCGTATGCTTGCTTTGCTTCGCCTCGCTTCGCCTACTCTCTGTGTTCTTGCTTCACTCCTCCACGGTCCAGTGCTGGGATGGGAACCTCCCTTTTCAGGCAGGTAGCAGGCCTACTCCACCACACTGCTTCCTCCACCAAACCCGCCCAATCACCTGCCTGACACAACCCCTCCCCCCTCCCCCATCCCCCCTCCCCCATCCCCCCTCCCCCCCTCCCCCATCCCCCATCCCCCCTCCCCCCTCCCCCATCCCCCCTCACCCCACTGGCAAGCAGCATGAGGGAGGACTTGCTTGATGTGCCCAAATTCCAGCGCTTCACTCAGGCCACTCTCGTCTCGACCACTGAGCTGACCTAAGAATATATTATCATTCTTCCCCTCCCCCCTCCTCCCCTTCCGCGGGCAAGCAGCATGAGGGAGGACTTGCTTGACGTCCCCAAATTCCAACGCTTTACACAGGCCACTCTCGACAGCCGACCCATGGCGTCATGTGAGTTGCATGTGATATGCTCCATGGCATCATGTGAGAAACATGCGACTTGGCCCATGGCATCATGTGAGGGACATGCGACTTGGCCCATGGCATCATGTGAGGGACATGCGATTTGGCCCATGGCATTATGTGAGGGACATGCGATTTGGCCCATGGCATTATGTGAGGCACATGCAGTGTGACCCATGGCATTATGTGAGGCACATGCAGTGTGACCCATGGCATTATGTGAGGCACATGCAGTGTGACCCATGGCATCATGTGAGGCACATGCAGTGTGACCCATGGCATCATGTGAGGCACATGCAGTGTGACCCATGGCATCATGTGAGGCACATGCAGTGTGACCCATGGCATCATGTGAGGCACATCATGCTAGCTGCAACTGACCTGTTGACTCTCAACCATGGCGTCATGTGAGTTGCATGTGGTGTGACTGATCGACCCATGGCATCATTTGTTTACATGCGAGCTGACCCATGGCACCTGTTGCGCACCAAGTATGTCTCAGTGAGTAGTTTCTCGCTTCTAGTCTTAGAGGTTGAGGGCTCAAGTTGCAGCGCTGCATTTTCCCCTCTCATGTTTTGCTCACAATGACATACCCATACTCCACTCATCCCATGCTCACTTTGTTGGCCCCTATGATGTGTCATATGCTGCCATGTGGGCTGTTGCGCCAGTCGTGAACTTTGTTCTCCTCATCAACAACTCGTTCGTACGAGATGCTGTGGAGAGGAACGCCAACCATTGCATCTACGCCCCCGAGCCCAACGGCACGCTCACCTGCCGCCCGCGCGACCTGCCCCTGTACGCACCGATTGTCATCTTCAACTCCCGCAAGGAGTTTAATGCGCGTGTGAACCTCACAGAAGTCTGCTGCTACGACCTCATGTCAGGTGAATCGAAATGCTGGCCAGTTTTGAGAAGCCTCAAAATTCAAATCTTGAGACGCCTCAAGCCTCACTGAAGTCTGCTACTAAGACCTCATGTCAGGTGATTGGAATGGAAAGGCCGGCCAGTTTTGAAAAGTCTCAAAACTCAAATTCTGAGACGCCTCAAACTTCACTGCAGACTGCTGCTACGACCTCATGTGGAGAGGCCGACCAGTTTTGAGAAGTCTCAAAACACATCTCAAAACTCAAAGTTTGAGACGTCGCAAACCTCACTGAAGTCTGCTGCTACGACCTCATGTCAGCTGAAGTTAAGGGCGTGGCTGTGAGGGCTGCAACTCTCTTGAGAATTCTCAGAAGTAGCTCCAACAGACCTGCCTGCCCCTGTACGCGCCTATTGTCATCTTCAACGCTCGCTAGGAGTTTATTTCGCGCGTGAACCTCACTGCAGACTGCTGCTGCTACGACCTCATGTCAGGCGACTTGAAAGGCCGGGCTGGTTTTGCTGGAGTTGCTTCCGAGGATTTTCACAAGTAGTTCCAAAGTCTAGTAGAACCTCCCACCCGGCCGCCCGCCCGCCCGCCCGCGCTCCTGCCTGCCTGGCGGTTTCTCGAGTATTCACCTTCTTCCCGCCACTCCCCATCCTACTTCCCTGCCTCCCACTGTCACCCATGGGCTCCCACCGCCTCCCACCGTTTCCCATGGCTCTCAGACCCAATGGCAAATGACACAATCCATCGGGCCATCAACTCGGCCTCCTCGGCCACATCTCCTCCCTTCATACGCAAAAACTACACCTACCACTTCATTGCGGATATTTTCCCAGTCTACTCCAACCGCACCACCTTCGCCCTGCCTCCCTCGCCCTCCCCTCCCTCGGTCGCCATCCCTCCGCTCGCCACCCCCGGGGTGCTCCCACAAGGATTTGTCCTCGCGGGGTATAACTTTGCAAACCTCCGATCGCTTGTTGGATTTCAGGAGCTTGTGGAACTAGACGCGAGGGTTTATGTGGTCGATGGTACCAAAGGGGGGGCTTGGGATGGTGCACAGGATGAGATTGCGCAGAATGGGGATGGGACGAATGGGAACGAGCGGGCTAATAGGTGGTTGCCGGCGCTGCTGTTTGATCATGAGGGGGTGGTGGGTGAGGAGGAGATTGGAGCGTGGATGATGGATGGGGAGGGACGGGAGGATGGGGGGAGAGTGCGGCGGCCATTGCACATGGGTGATCCTACGAGAAAGTTCTACCTTTTCTGCGAGTGAGTTGATGTGTTCATGCGGATGGATTTAGATAGATGCATGCACATGTAAGCATGTCGATGGAGGCATTTATGTATTTTTGTGCATGCATGCACCATCCATGCATGATGTATGCATGCATTCAAGTAGCTATATGCATACAATCTTACATGTAACATGCATGCACACAGATATGCACGGAACTTACGCGGATATGCACGTATCCCTCCCATCTTATTGCATGCCATTGTTCATGTTGCCTAAATACCCCTCCCCCGCACCTCTCCCTCCCTCCTTCTCTTCCCACCCTCCCACCTCTCACCCTCCCACCTCTCGCCCTCCCACCTCTCGCCCTCCCACCTGTCGCCCCCATCCCACCACAGGCACATCTGATACACGAAGCCGTTCAGCCCCTTTATCTGGATCACAGGGGCCGTGCTCTTCCTTAGCGTCTCCACCATCCTCCTCTGGACGAGCATCCAGCTAATGCATGCTTTCGAGTCTGACTGCCAACAACTAGTTGCCGCCCAACATGAGCTACGTTCCGCCCGCTTGGTGGCCGAGGCAGCGAGCCGAGCCAAGGGTGCGTTCCTCACGACGATGTTGCACGAGATCCGCACACCCATGAACGGCGTGATAGGTAATGTTGTAATATGGTAATGGGAGTAATGTAGTAACACGGTAATGTGGCATTGTGCTAATTGAGGAGAGTCACTCTACAACAGGAGTGGACTACGTGAAAAGTCACACACACGCTGTACGGGTTGGTCGGATCGTTGTCTAACAAGTGTGCATATGTGCGTCACCTACCAAGTAGGTGCAGATTTGCGCAGAAAACGTTTGTCTGCACTGTGCACGTCATGCACTTGAACCACATTGCACATGTGCTAGGTTGTAGCATGTGATGCTTGTCGAGCAGGTCGATTTTCGCTAAAACCGCCTGAACGGAAATTCGCGTACATACTAAAATGCGTCGTCCCGTTACTTGGTTGGCTAGAAGAAGGCCACTAAGTCGGCGCCGACTATTGACGGTCGGCGCCTGATCGATGATTACTTTTGTTTGCCGAGGCTTGACGCCGTCCGCCGACTTCACTTCGTCGGTTAGCGTCTAGTCGGCTTCGCTGTGGTTGGCTTCGCCGAGATCGGCTTCGCTGTGGTCCCGCCGAATTCGATGAAGCAATCTCGCTGACTTCATTTCCCAAGTCGGCGTCGATCACGAAACGCAACCGGCTACACACCTTGCGCACCGGACAGCGAAGTCGGCTTCGCCCAAGCGAGGGCGGAGCCTTCTCTCATCATTAGTAGCGATTATTGTTGTCTGCATTGAGGAGATATTTTCATTTGTGAAATTACATTATTGTCTCAATAAACGCATGCCCCCCTCTCTCTCCCTTTCCTTCCCCCCCCCCTCCTCCCCACCATGCATGCTGAATTTGTTGATGGATACCCCTCTAGATAGGTCGCAGAAGGACTACGCGGAGACGGCGTGCAGCAGCGGGCGGGCGCTGTGTGCGCTGATCAACGACATTCTCGACCTCTCCAAGATCGAGGCTGAGAAGCTCCGCCTCGAGCGCATCCCCCTCAACCTGCGCGCCGAGCTCGACGACGTGCTCGCGCTCTTTGTGGAGAGCGCCCAGGAGAAGCGATGCGTGGAGCTTGCGGCGTTTGTGGCCGATGACGCGCCGGAAATGCTCGTGGGAGATCCGCTCCGTGTGAAGCAGGTGAGTTGAAGGGCAGGCAAGTGCTTAGAAACGGCAGGTGCTTGGAATGGTCAGGGTAAGGTAAGCTAGATGATGATGCGGATAAAAACTCATGGAGCTTGGCACATTAGTTTTATAATGACGATGTGTTGTGCCTGAGGAGCTCACAAAGGATCCGCTTCTGTCAGAATCCCACCCCCTTTACCACTGGGATAAAATGGCTTGTTAAGTAGCGGGTGAGTGCGCCCGTAATCGGCCAGACTCTAAACTTGTAACTTTTTGCTATGATGAATCAAATTTTCCAGAGCAGTCATCTGACAATATTTGGTGCTGAGAAGACAAGGTGCTGGTGCTTGTAGGGTCATGGATGGGTGCTTGGCAACGTCAGGTGCATGGCAGGCTCAAGTGCATGGCAAGGTGAGGTGCATGGCAGGGTCAAGTAGGGTCAGGTGCATGGCAGGGTCAAGTAGGGTCAGGTGCATGGCAGGGTCAAGTAGGGTCAGGTGCATGGCAGGGGCATGGCCTTTCGTGGAGCCGCTTGGGCTGGATTCCTTAGTTCATCACACTCTCTGCGCCTTCCCCTTCTCACACATGCGACGCCTTCAAATTCACGTCCAGTGCCCCTTCTTCATGCACGTGTGTGTGTGTGTGTGTGTGTGTGTGTGTGTGTGTGTGTGTGTGTGTGTGTGTGTGTGTGTGTGTGTGTGTGTGTGTGTGTGTGCGGCACGCGAACGCGCGCGTGCCTCTGTGTGTCCGTGTATGTTTCTTCTCCTGTGCAACAGATCCTCATCAATCTCATCAGCAACGCATTCAAGTTCACCACTGAGGGCCACGTCTTCATTGCCGTGCGCCTCGCAACCACCACCGATAGTGGCACCACCAGCTGCAGCCGCCCCCCCCCGCCTCTGCTCTCTCCTTGTTCCTTCACTTCCTCACCATCACCATCACCATCACCATCACCATCACCATCACCATCACCATCACCATCACCATCACCATCACCATCACCATCACCATCACCATCACCACCACCATCAGCATCACCCTCGCCATCACCCTTACTGTTAGCATCCTCATCACCTCACTCCAAGGCAACTGCCAGCAGGCACCAATCCCTTGACAATGGCTTTACCAAGGCAAGCAGGCTCAGAGAGGGGAGGGATGCTGATGAGATTTCTGAGGATCACCCTTCAAGCAGCTATATAGAAGGGAAGGATCCATGTCCAGTTGAGGCTGCCGGTGCTGGTGTAAAAGGGAGGAACGGTGCTGCTTGGGATGACAGGGACGATGGTGCTGGTGGCAATGTTGGCATGGGTGGCGGTGTTGGCACCAGTGGCGGCAGTCGAACCATTGTGAAGGCATCTATTGAGCCTGCGTGTGCAACGCTGAGTGGGTGGCCAGCCATGAAGTCGTGGTGTTCGTGGGAGGGCATGCGGGAGCACATGGACCTTGCTGCCGTGGGCATAAGCAAGGCGAGCTATACCGGCCATGGCGATGGGCATGGGGGGCATGGCGATGGGCATGGTGATGGCGGTCTTGGCCAGGAATATGGCGAGGGATATGCTGATGGGCATGGTGATGGGGATGGGGATGAGAATGGCAATGACCTTGCCCATGGCATCGTGGGACCCGACCAGCCTGTGCACCTGATGGTGGCTGTGGAAGACACAGGTACCGGCATCCCCCGGCACGCGCGGAGGTACATCTTCTGGCCGTACACACAGGCAGAGCGCAGCACGGCACGGCTGCATGGAGGCACGGGCATCAGCCTCTCCATCTGCAAGGTGCGTTGCATTGGGAGTGCGTCATTGAATGTGTCAACTTGGGCTTCAAGGGGCGTTTTATCGGCCTCTCCATCTGCAAGGTGCGTTGCGTTGGGAGACGTGCCTTTTCATGTACTTTGCATCGGGACACCTGTCTTCAGGGTATGATGCCCCTCCCACCACCAACCCCCCTCCCTTGCCCCTTCCACTTGCCATGTGAGCAACGCCTGGTGTCGATGATGGGAGGATCCATCTCGTTTGTCTCGAAGCCAGGCGTCGGCACCACCTTCCTCTTCGATATCCTCCTCCACACACCGCCTCTCCCTCACCCGCCTCCCTCCCCTTCTCACCCTCCCCAACCCCACACTCCTCCTCAACACCAGAATCCAGTATCCCTGAAATCCCCTGCCATCTGTTCTAGCACTCCCTTCATCCCCGCTCCTCCTTCCCCTCAAAGCTCATGCCACTTCCCCCCTGAACCCACAAACCACCAGCCACTGCAGCAGCAGCGGCAGAGGAGAAGGGAGGATGTGGGTTTCAGAGTGGGAACGCTGGGAGCGGTGGGAGTGAAGGGAGATTTGCCAGTGGGCTAAAAGGCGTGTGTGTGGTGAGTGGTGGGGGGACAGCGGGTGCGCTAGATGGTGTGTGTGTGGTGAGTGTGGACGACCGGGCGGTGCGGCATGCCGTCACTCTCTCTCTGCTGCGCCGCCTTGGCCTCTGCACCCTCCCCTGCCCCTCCTTCCACCTCCTCCCCCGCCTCCTCGCCCAACACTGCTCCTTGCACCATGGGTCATGTCATCCCATGCACCATGGGTCATGTCATTCCACGCACCATGGCTCGTTTCATTCCATGCAGCATGCCTCGTGCCATGCCATGCACCACGGTTCATGCCATGCCACGCACGATGAATCATCTGATGCGACGGGACATGCCTCGTGCCCTGCGAGGCACCATGGGTCATCGACACATGCCATGCATGCTTCCAGTGAGCAGCAAGGCGAGCAGCAGGGCGAGCAGCAGGGCGAGCAGCAGGGCGAGCAGCAGGGCGAGCAGCAGGGGGAGAAGCAGGGGGAGCAGCAGGGGGAGCAGCAGGGGGAGCAGCAGGGGGAGCAGCAGGGGGAGCAGCAGGGGGAGCAGCAGGGTGAGCAGCAGGGGGAGCAGCAGGGGGAGCAGCAGGAGGAGCAACAGTGGGAGCAGCAGGAGGAGAGGAAGCAACACAAGCTTGAACTAACCTCCGAGCCGTCTCTTGCTTCAACATACCTCTCTCACCTCCTCTCTCCCAGTCGCACCACCAACCACCCCTCTCCTTCTCCACACACCGTTTCTCTTACAGCCCCACCAGCAGCACCCCACAAACCGCCTCCTCGTACCCCTCCCTGTCATCATCGCCGCGTGAAGTCTCAAACCGCCCAGTCATGCTTCGCTCTACCCACCTCGCAGCTCTCCTTTGGGTCCCTTCTAACTGCTTCCCCCACGAGTTTTGAGGCACATAAAAAAGCCCACCAACCGTCGTCTCTCACCCCTCGCCCTCCTCCTCGACGCGTCAAGTCTCACGCCTCACTGCCATGCCTCGCACTACCCAACTTTCAACGATCCATAGGAGCCTTCGTAACCGCTTCCCCCACAGCACGCCACACACCTGGTGATCAGTCTCTGGTCCCTCTGCTTTCAGCCGACACGTGCACACAAGAGCACTCAGAACCAGCAAGATCGTCTTGAGGAGTTATCTTCTTTTCACGAGCCTTTTGCTCCTTCTCTCGACCCATTTGGCTCTACTCTTGACCCGTCTGCTCCTTCTCTCGACCCATTTGGCTCTACTCTTGACCCGTCTGCTCCTTCTCTCGACCCATTTGGCTCTACTCTTGACCCGTCTGCTCCTTCTCTCGACCCATTTGGCTCTACTCTTGACCCGTCTGCTCCTTCTCTCGACCCATTTGGCTCTACTCTTGACCCGTCTGCTCCTTCTCTCGACCCATTTGGCTCTACTCTTGACCCGTCTGCTCCTTCTCTCGACCCATTTGGCTCTACTCTTGACCCGTCTGCTCCTTCTCTCGACCCATTTGGCTCTACTCTTGACCCGTCTGCTCCTTCTCTCGACCCATTTGGCTCTACTCTTGACCCGTCTGCTCCTTCTCTCGACCCATTTGGCTCTACTCTTGACCCGTCTGCTCCTTCTCTCGACCCATTTGGCTCTACTCTTGACCCGTCTGCTCCTTCTCTCGACCCATTTGGCTCTACTCTTGACCCGTCTGCTCCTTCTCTCGACCCATTTGGCTCTACTCTTGACCCGTCTGCTCCTTCTCTCGACCCATTTGGCTCTACTCTTGACCCGTCTGCTCCTTCTCTCGACCCATTTGGCTCTACTCTTGACCCGTCTGCTCCTTCTCTCGACCCATTTGGCTCTACTCTTGACCCGTCTGCTCCTTCTCTCGACCCATTTGGCTCTACTCTTGACCCGTCTGCTCCTTCTCTCGACCCATTTGGCTCTACTCTTGACCCGTCTGCTCCTTCTCTCGACCCATTTGGCTCTACTCTTGACCCGTCTGCTCCTTCTCTTGAGCCGTTTGGCTCGCCCGCTGTCCTTGTGGCTCCTCGTCCATCCGTCGCTCCCCTTTCCCGCCAGTACTCCTTCCCTCCCATCTCACTCGCTGCTTCTCCTCCCTGCCCTCCTATCTCCATCGCCCGTCCGCCGCTCACCATCGATGTTCACTGCTCTAGTGAGAGAATTGCGAGCGGAGGGGAGGAGGAGCAGCAGTGGCTTCAGCTGCAGCAACGGCTGTGGCAGTGGCAGCAGGAGGAAGAGAAGGAGACGGAGGAGGGGGAAGAGGGGAAGGAGGAGGAGAAAGAAGAGGTGGAGGAGGAGGAGCAAGGAGAGGAGGAAGGAGGGGAGGAGGATGGAGCAGCGCAGGTGCAGCAACGCGTTTCCAGGGTTTCTCAAAGATTGCAGCAGCGGGTGCACTACAGGAGCTTGAGCAAGGCAGAGAGGCGGGGATGGGTGGGGGCGGTGGTGGTGGAGGGGGAGATGATGCAGCGGCTGAGCGTCTCAGCAGATCAAATCCATGCTCTCATGTCAGGCCAGGCAGGAGACAACGTGAGTACGGTTGGGGGGAAAGGGAAGAAAGGGAGGAAGGAGGGAGTGAGTAGGTGTGCAGCAGAGAAGGGCTGTGGCAGCAAGAGCAGCAATAGCAGATGTGCTTCTCTAAAACCTACCAGTGAAGCAGCTGTGGGTTCACAGGAGGAGCAGCCTACCAGCCTTACTGCTGGTAGCAACTGCAGCAGCTGCGGTTTGCCTTGTTCCTGTTCCTGCAGCGGGAGCAACTGCAGGTGGCCTGTTCCTTTCCTCGTGCTTCTCCACGGCTCTCTTCCTCTCCCTCCCCACTCTCTTGCTACAGGCCTTGCCGCCCCCGACAGTCTCAGCCCTTACAAGAGAGAAGCATATAACGGGGGCAGCTTCTCCTGTGAGCCTTGTCCTGAGGGCCAAAGAGGGGGTGAGCTGGACCAGAGAAAGGGGAGGAAGGGAGTAACCGGAGCAAGGGGCAGGGAGGGGGCCAATGAGGGCGGCAGCAGGGAGGGAAGCTTGGAGCAGAGTAAGAGTAGGGAGAGGGAGGGCAGCCGCAAAAGGCAAGGAGAAAGGGTGGATGAAAGGGATGAGGGGGGTGACTGTGCGTGCAACGATGGGATGAGCGGTTTCCAAGGCAGAATCAGGAACAGGCCTCCTGCTCTGTCCCTCTCTCCCTCTACGTCAATACCTGCCACTGCCGCTCGTCTCTCTCCCTCCCCTGCTCTCTCCCTCGTACCCGCCCCGTCCATCCCCTCGCTATTGTCACTTGGCTTTGACGCTGTCGTGAGGAAGCCGCTGCGGAAGCCAGCGCTGCTGGCGGCGCTTCTGCCGCTGTTTGGTGCGGACGTGGGGGAGGAGCAAGGTGGGTGTGGGCAGGCAGGAGGAGGAGCAGAGGCAGGAGGAGGAGAAGGAGGCAAGAATGGGGACGTGGCGAAGGGGCAGCGGGGTGGTGGTGTGGTGCTGAGCCCATCGGCCCTCCACAAGGCTGGCAGCAGCGCTGCAGCAGCCCTCTGGCGAGCTGCCCACGTTTACACCTTCCGTTCGCCACGAACACTCAAGTCCCCACGAGCTCTCAAGTTTCCCCAGTCACTCAATTCCCCACCATCACTCGAATCCTTTCTGTTGTGCCCCTCCCACTCATCCACCACTCTTACCTCTCTAGCCACTCCCACCACTCCAACCACGTTCAACACTTACATCATTCCCAACACTCCCGATACTCTCGCCATTCCCGGAACCCCAAGCACTCCCCCGCGTAAATCTGCCAAGTCCGAACATGCAAGCCCCGTTGCAAGTGGTGGTCCCTCTGCCTCCCTAGCTATGCATCTCGCACCCCACCTCCTCACCAGCGGCACCAGCGGTATGTTTAGAGTGGATGGAGTTGGTGGTACGGATGGTGTGGGTGGTACGGATGGTGCGGGTGGTACGGATGGTGTGGGTGGTACGGATGGTGTGGATGGAGTGGATGGAGTGGATGGTAACAGAGCCTCGTTGACCAATCGAGTAGCGTCTCTAGAGCACCTCATTCCAGCATCAGCCATAGCTGCTGCCAGTGGTGCTGTTGTTGCCGGTGCTGCTTCTGCTGCCGGTGCTGCTGTTGCTGCCGGTGCTGCTGCTGCTGCCAGTGCTGCCGGTGCTGCCAGTGCTACCGGTTCTGCCGGTGCTGCTGCTGCTGGCGGTCTGTCAATGGATTTTACAACTGCTACCAACGCTACTTCTGCTGCTTCGGTTGATTTCACATCTGGTGCTGCTTCGGTTGATTTCACATCTGGTGCTGCTTCGGTTGATTTCACATCTGGTGCTGCTTCGGTTGATTTCACATCTGGTGCTGCTTCGGTTGATTTCACATCTGGTGCTGCTTCGGTTGATTTCACATCTGGTGCTGCTTCGGTTGATTTCACATCTGGTGCTGCTTCGGTTGATTTCACATCTGGTGCTGCTTCGGTTGATTTCACATCTGGTGCTGCTTCTGCTGCCTCTTGTGTTGTGAGCGGAAGTGGTTTGTTCGAAGGGAGAGCTCTGATGAGGCGCACGGGTGCTGAGGAAGAACTTTCTAATGCGGTCCAGGGAGGGCGAGCGCTGGTAAGGAGTGGCAGTGCTGTGGAAACTACTTCTGGTTCGCGTCAGGGGTGGCAGCACTACGTGCCTGAGGGTGTGCACGCCCTGGTGAGGAGCAGCAGTGCTGTGGAAAAACATCCTAAAGCGCCTAAGGGATTGCTGCACTCTGTTTCTCAGGGAGGGCCAGCCCTGGTAAGGAGTGGCAGTGCTGTGGATAACGTTTCTGATTCGCCTCAAGGGTGGCAGCACTATGTGCTTGAGAGGGTGCAGCAGTATGTGCCTCAAGGGTTGCAGCAGTATGTGCCTCAGAAGATGCGGGCTCTGGTGAGGAGTGGAAGCGCGATGGAAGCAGCTGGGGCAGCAGAGTGTCGGGCAGAGATGCATGGGTCGAAGGGCGAAGGGAGGGCAGCAAAGCATGGGTCAGCGGGTGAACGGAGAGCAGCTGGGAGGTTGCATGGGAGAGGGAGTGAGCGACGGAAAAGCAGCGATGGTCGTTACGTTGCTGCTGATGCTGCTGGTGGTGCCGGTGGTGCTGATGCTGCTGCTGCTGCTGATGCTGCTGGTGCTGCTGGTGCTGCTGGTGCTGCTGGTGCTGCTGGTGGTGGAGTTCGAGCTTTCAGAAGTGTGCTTGATAGATCAGGGTTGCCTCCCCCGTATGCTCGTCCTGCAGATCTCACCCCTGCGTCATCTTCTTCCTCCTCAGTCACACTCACTCCTGCTGCCACCCAAGCAGCAACACCATCACTATCGCCACTAGCCGCCCCGCCATCAGCAGCAGCATCCTCCTCAGCAGCAGCGTCAGCAGCGACACAAAAGCCGGCAACGGTGGGGGAGAGGCTGGGGGTGCTGGTGGGTCGGCGGGTGATGGTGGTGGATGACAACCTCATCAACCGCAAGGTGGCCAGCAAGCTGCTGGAGAGGCACGGCGCGCGAGTCACCGCCGTGGATGGCGGCGCCAAGGCGCTTCAAGCCCTCACCCCGCCCCACCCCTACGACCTCGTCCTCATGGACCTCCAAGTGAGATGAAAGGGCTGGAAAGGGTTGGCAATCAGAGGGATGAGCAACATGACACCTCCAGGTGAGATCATAAAGACAGCTGGGAGACAGCTGGGAGACAGCTGGGACTTCAGACAAGAGAGGGTCATGAGGCACACCACCTGGTGCACCTCGCCCTGCTGGCCCTGCAGGTACTGCACGTTTTACAGGTAGGGGGGTGGATCGTGCTGCACTTCTCCCTTCCATGTCGTCCTCATGCAACCCCCAGGTGACGGGAATGCATGGCTCACCTCGTCTCTTCTTCCCCTTCCCTTTGCAGATGCCTGGCATGGACAGCTTGCATGTAACTGAGAATCAGGGTGCATTCCTGCCAAGACGCGTCTTCAATGTTTGCGTCACAAACAGTTATTCGTGACTAATTGTGATACTCCGAAACCATGAACAGTGACGATCCAGCCAAACCCTCATTCCTTATTCTTCACATGGACTTCCCCCCCTTCTTGCAGATGACAGGCATGGACAGGATGGAGGCGACTTGGAGCGTCTGACACTCCATTTGGCCTTGATCTTCCCCCTTTCCACCAACCTCTCCCCCTCCCCTCTTCTACGAGTTCCAGATGCCGGGCATGGATGGGCTGGAGGCGACTCAGAGGATCCGGGCGCGGGAGAGGGCTCAGGGCGGGGGGCATGTGGCCATCGTTGCGCTCACAGCGGATGTGATTGCTGGCACGCGCCAGCAGTGCTTTGCCGTCGGCATGGATGACTACCTCTCCAAACCCCTCGAGGATGCCCCTCTCTCCCAAGCTGTCTGGCGCTGCCTCGCCAACACATGATTATTGATCACTCATACACACTTACACGTTCTTGTCTAGGGCCCACATCTCCAACGTCGTCCGGCACTGCCTCGCCAATATCTGATCATGCATTACATGCCTGTCTGGGCCTTGCGGAAATGAATTTCTGCATGCTACTAATCCATTAAGTTTTAACCATTAAACCATTCCAGAATTCCATCGACAATGTTCCAATATTTTGTTTGGGCTGAACCCTAAAAGATAGGGTCCTCTTATCAAACCCGTGTAATTGGGAGTGTAGGTACAGAACTTCGCTGTTTATTGAACATTCACGCTCCGAAGGGATCTTGTGACGTGAACTATCGCGTGTATGGGAGATTTGCCGAGGCGGTTGTCTTGTCTTGTCTGTCTGTCATCACACGCATCCCTGTGGTGTGCTGTCGGATTGAGTTGTTCGGCTCGCTTCCAGCCTCTCCAGTCTCGACTGTAGGCAGGTACAACTGTACGTAGCTTCCAAGGTGTTTGTTGGTCTTGTTCAACTCTTTGCCTGGACGAAGTACAAGTGTATCTGTACCATGCAGCAGTCTACGCATTTTGTTTTCGGGCATCGCAAATTCGTGAGTGGAAGTGGTTTGTTTGTGTCATGAGCTAGTTCGTGTCCGTAGGGTCGACATGTCAGGTGAGAGCGGGTCAATCCGAAGCGCATTCAAATTAGAGTGTCAAGAACTGTAGCGGAAGTGTCAAGTCGAAGCGCAGGTACGAACATCAGCGACGCAATTTCATTGGTTTGAGAATTTGTCATGGCTAGATCTGCTAAACAACGAACAATTCAAAAGACATATTGTGTGCTGATTGGGCAGCACCTGGTCGTGAGATAGGCACCTGCGACAATCTTCTCTCGTTTGTAGGTTTGTCTGTGCCAATTTCAAAAGTGTCCGACGATTTGTATTGGCTGGCAACCTGCAACATTGCTGGCAGAGTGTCAAAATGCCAAGTTGACACTGCCCACTTTGACAGTCGTCCCTACAGACACGACATTATTACACCTAGCCTCACCTGATATATTTCTTTCTTGACCTTTCCAAGCCGCTTTGGACCCTAGGACAATTTCTCTTGTGCAGGTCATACTGTCGGTGGTGAGAGAAACCTGAAAGCCAGCCTGTGCCTGAAGAGCGGGAACCGATTACAGTCACGACGATGCTTCCAGATTCACGAATCACGATTGAACTCTTGCAAACTGGACTGCAAGAGTCCTTCAAGCTTCGCCTGCCCAAAGGCGAGGCGAGGCGACCCAAAACTAGGGCCAGGATGACATGACACACGTAACTTGAGGATCAATTGTGTCATAGCCCGCGTGCCATCGTAACCTTGGTTTCGCCGGGGCTGGCGTCTCACCGTGGCCTGGACAATTCATTGCCTCCGTCCGTTCCGCGCTCATCTGCGCTGCGTGTCGTCCGTCTTCTCTTCCGTCTTTTTCCTCCATCGTCATGGATTGCACGGGAATTCCAGCTTGCGTGGGAAGGCATCGGAAGGGATTCCGGACGCTAAGCGGAGATAGCTCGGTTTTCTCGAACATTTCTCCGGACGACGCACTAATAGCAGATTCCGACACCTTAGCTCATGAAGGGAATCGAGTGACGTCGTCTGAAGGGGATTTAGAAATGGAGGAGGGTTGCGAAGGGTTACTGACGGGGCGAGAAGAGACAGTACTGTACGACCCGGGAGGTTGTTACCCGTCCCTGAACCTCAGCGGATTGAAGCCACAGCAGAAACGGCGACCTTTAGGGATCCTAAGTAAGGCCGCGCGAATGCCGCCGTCTTCGGCGGCTGAGGATGATCCGTCTAGTAGTGCCGCGCCCCCGTGTCATGTCTCAAGCCCGCCGCCACAGACAGCAGATCTGGTAGTAGATTACGATTCGTCCGTTCGTGCCACGTCATCGTTTCATCATAACGCCAGCGTACCCGCACAGGCAGGGGTGCGTTCCGCCTTTTCGTGCTTTGGTTTCAATGGCGATGGCGCATCATGCGCATCGGCCGAGGAAAGCGAGAGGGAGAATGGGGAGGAGGAAGAGAGAGAAGACGGGAGGAAAGTCGCGAGGGAGAGTGAGATCGGCGACAGGAATGATCTTGATTCAACGGAGGGGGCGGAGGGGACGGAGGGGGCGGAAGAGGCAGAGGAGGCGGAGGGGGCAGACGGGAATGAGTCTGACGATGGCGGGTATGAGTTCCGCGGATTGGAAAATGAGACGGAGATGGCGATGCTGGCGGAATCGACGGCGGAAGTGGGGTTGGGGGGAAAAGGGGTCGCGGAAAAGGGGGCCGCGAAAGGCGCGGAAGGGGCGGAAGGGGCGGAAGGGCACCATCGGCGACAGTCGTGGCTGACGAGGGTGGAGTGGTTCGTGTCGTGGCCGCTCAGGCGACTCAGCCACCCGTGGCGCAAGGTACGCCGTGAATACCGCAGTGCTGTGGTGATTGGGACACTGCAGTGCGTGGTGTCCTGGTTCGTACGACGTGCATGCGCTGCCTGTGAAAAAAAGAAGAAAAGAAACAGCTACCTCCCAGGTCTCAGCTGGTGCGTCAATTCTGCAGTAGGGTTGGCGGCTGCTGGTCCTGGCCCCTGGACATTCCGACGCTCATGTTCACAATCCCTGGGATAAGAGGGATGACACACAGAGTAACCTGCTTCTGAGCTTCCCCCCATAGTCACAACCCCCCCACCACCCCACTCCACCCAACGTCATTCCTACATTCCAGCGAGTGCTGTGGCTGTGGGCGGTGTGTTGATAGCAGCGGTTATCCTGTCGATGGTGTTTGCAATGGCATGGCAGCATGCGCAGGCGAGAGAGAGGGACGACACGCACAGCCTCCTGCTTCCCTTCCCCCCTCTGCTCACGCCCCTCCTCCCATCCTCCCCCTTCGAATGGTCCTTGTATTGAATAAACAACTCGTACAGGCAAGGATGGAATGCGTTCAAGGTAAGACTACTAACCCTTTTCTCTCCCCCTTCACCCTTCCATTTCTCCCTTCACATGTTACTCCCCCCTCTCTCCCCCCCCCCCCCCCTCCGCTCCCCACCCCCCCCTCTCCCAGCGAGTGCTGTGGCTGTGGGTGGTGCTAGCAGCGGCCATCCTGTCGCTGGTGTTTGCGATGGCGTGGCAACATGCGCAGGGGACTGAGAGGGACGACCTGGAGTCGCACTGTGACGAGTGGGGGGCGTTTATAGAGGCCAAGTTCAACACCACTGCAGCCAACACGCGCTCCGTTTCTGACTTCATCCGCGCATATTACCTCGATAAGTACGCCCAGGGCCACCTTTTACCTTTGTTTCTCCCAGTGCCGCCGGTTTTATGGGCCGCCAACACACGCTCCGTTTCCGACTTGATCAGCGCTTATTACCTCGATAAGTTCGGGGCCGTTAGGGGCTTCCATGCGTTGTAGCTCGCTCCTACGCGCGGCATTTCTCTGACTCTCATGCTGACAACCACCTCAAGCTTCTCACTCCACCTCCCTCCGAAACCCTTTCGACCCACTCTCCTTCCTTCTCCCCCTGTCCTCTTCCCCCCCTGGCTTCCTTCTCTTCTCATTTCTCCCTCACTATCGTTTCCGCCTTCTCCCGTCCCCCCTCCCCGTCAAACCCTACTGCCAAACACCTCCTTGAGGGAGGACTATCTTGACGTGGAGAAAGTACGTGCATTGAGTTGAAATTTGAGGCGCCTCAAAATTCAACTTCCCTGAGGGAGGACTTTCTGGACGTGGAGAAACTCCAACGCTTCACTCTCAAGCCACTCTTGAATCTCGAGTTCATCTATAAAACATATTTGCACTTCCACCCCTCCTCCTCCCCCGCCTCCCCCTCCCTTCGTTTCCCCTGGGGCAAGCAGCATGAGGGAGGAGTGTCTGGACGTGGAGAAATTCCAACACTTCACTTAGGCCACTGTCAATCCAGGAGATTTATCCCTTTTACCTTCTCCCCTCTTGTGAGGCGCCTCAAAAGATTTATCCCTTTTACCTTCTCCCCTCTCCCCTCTCCCGACCACCCTGTCCCTCCCTGACACAACCCCTCCCCCCCCCTTCCCCCCTCCGGGGGCGAGCAGCATGAGGGAGGACTTTCTGGACGTGGAGAAATTCCAACGCTTCACTCAAGCCACTCTTGACGGCCGACCCATGGTGTCAAGTGAGTTGCTGTGCTGCTAGCTGCAAGTGGACTGCTCCTTTACATTTCATGGCTTGCATGTGGCGTGAAGTGCTCTGACTGAACTGAACCATGACGTCATGAGTGTTGCATTTGGCGTGAAGTGCTCTGACTGAACTGAACCATGACGTCATGAGTGTTGCATGTGGCGTGAAGTGCTCTGACTGAACTGAACCATGACGTCATGAGTGTTGCATGTGGCGTGAAGTGCTCTGACTGAACTGAACCATGACGTCATGAGTGTTGCATGTGGCGTGAAGTGCTCTGACTGAACTGAACCATGACGTCATGAGTGTTGCATGTGGTGTGATCTGACTGACCCATGGCGTCATGTGAGTTGCATTTGGCATGTTGGTGCATTCTCACTTACGCCTCTACCCCCTTCAACAACGCAGCTCTACAAAATCGTTTTCAACCCGCCTCGACTGCCGCCTCCGTCCATCCATTCCGTTTCTCCCTTATTCCCTCCCTGTCCCCCCTGTTCCTCCTGTTCCCCAAACCCTGTTCCTCTTTTTTCGCCCCCCCCCGTATCCCCTGTAGTCGTGAGCTTCACGCTGCTGGCCAACAGCTCGTTCCCTTGGGTCATTGTCGATTTCAATCCCAACCACTGCATCTCCACTCCAGAGCCCACCGGCGTGCTCTCCTCTGCTGTTCCCCCCTGTGATTTTCCCCGCTGACCCCTTGTGTTCCCCCCCGTATCCCCCGTGCGTCCCCCCCGGCAGTCGTGGGCTTCACACTCCTGGTGAGCAACACATTCATTCGCAACTTAGTGGAGCAAAACTCCAACCACTGCATCTTCGCTCCCGAACCCAACGGCGCACTCGCCTGTGCTGTCCTCCCCGTGCTGTCCCCTCCGTTACCCCCCTGTGTCCCCGGCAGTCGTTGGCTTCACACTCCTGGTGAACAACACGTTCATTCGCGACTTAGTGGAGCAAAACTCCAACCACTGCATCTTTGCACCCGAACCCAACGGCGCACTCGCCTGCCGCCCACGCGACCTGCCCCTGTACGCGCCCCTTGTCATCTTCAACGCCCGCAAGGAGTTCTACCCGCGCGTGAACCTCTCTGCCGTCTGCTGCCAGGACATCATGGCTGGTGAGTCCAAGGGCTGACTTTTGAGAACTCTCCAAAGGGACATCATGGCTGGTGAGTCCAAGGGCTGACTTTTGAGAATTCTCCAAAGGGACATCATGGCTGGTGAGTCCAAGGGCTGAATTTTGAGAGTTCTCCAAAGGGACATCATGGCTGGTGAGTCCAAGGGCTGACTTTTGAGAGTTCTCGAAAGGGACATCATGGCTGGTGAGTCCAAGGGCTGAATTTTGAGAATTCTCCAAAGGGACATCATGGCTGGTGGCCGGTAGAACTAGAGCCGCTCTTGAGAATCCCGATAGCCAGCTTCAGTCGACCTGCCTGCCCCTGTACGCGCCCCTTGTGCATTTTCAACTCTCACAAGGAGTTGTACCCACGCGTGAACCTCCCTGCACTTTTTGAGGCGCCTTAAAATTCGCCTCAAAAGTCGTTTCAGTCGACCCGCCTGCCCCTGCACGCGTCCCTTGTCATGTTCAACTCCTGCAAGGAGTTCTACCCGCGCGTGAACCTCTCTGCACTCTGCTGCTACATCATGGCATGCCAGGTGACTGGAAAGGCGGGGCCGGTGGGAAGGAGCATCTTTCGTCGCCTGTTGTGCTGTACGGGGTTCTCGAGGTTTCAAGTAGTTCCCGGTGTGTTTTGAGTCGACTCAAAACACACCTAGTTCCCGGGGCATCTTGTAGTTACTGCTGTGTGGGGTTCTTGTAGTTACTCGTGAGGGGAGTGTGGACGGGTCTACTGCTGCTGCTGACCACGCCTCGCACTTCTCCACGTGAAGCGAGGTTGTTGTTTGTTGAGACGTCTCAAAAACAACCTCGCTTCACGTCGCTGCTGCTGACCACGCCTCGCACTTCTCCTCCAGGTTGTGTACAAGGCCCAGGTTGTTAAGCGCGGCCGTGAGGTCATTGAAGGCTTCGGTGCAGGCTGTGTCCTCTCCCTGGAGGGTGATGTCGTCTTGGCTCTGCACCATCTGCCCACTCCTCTGCTGGGCCCTTTCTCCCCCCTCGACTAACCTCCTTCCCCGCCTCCCACCACATCCCACCACCCCCCACCGCATCCCGCTGCCCCTCTCAGAACCAGCATTTAACGACACGTTCCGCCGGGCCATTGACTCAGCCTCCTCCGCCATGTCTCCTCCCTTCATGCGCGACAACTACTCCTACCATTTCATCGGCCAGGCCTTCCCAGTCTACTTCAACCTCACCACCTTCGCCCTGCCCCCCTCAGCCTCCCTTCCCTCCATCGCCATCCCTCCACTTGCCACGCCTGAGGACCTCCCACAGGGGTTTGTCATCGCGGGGTATAACTTTGCAAACCTGCGATCGCTGGTGGGGTTTCAGCAGCTGGTGGAGCTGAACGAGAGGGTTTATCTGGTGGATGGCACGAGGGGCGGGGCGTGGGATGGTGCGAGAAATGAGGATGGGAAGGTTGATAAGTGGTTGCCGGCGTTGTTGTTTGATCATGAGGGGGTGGTGGGCGAGGAGGAGATTGGAGCGTGGATGATGGATGGGAAGGGGCAAGAGGATGGGGGGAGAGTGCAGCGTGAGGTGCACTTGGGTGACCCAACACGAAAGTTTTATCTATTCTGCGAGTGAGTTGATGTGTGCATGCATGCGTACGTGCCTGAACATGCCTACGGAAATCAGGCATTCATCGCACATACATTCATTATACATCCATCCATGCATCCACGAGCCATGTACACTCGCATACATGCATCGATCTAATTGATGGTGGCGGTGTTGTTTCTTCCTGTCTCCACCTGTTGTTTCTTTCTTGTCTCCACCATCCTCCTCTTGTCTCCACCATCCTCCTCTTGTCTCCACCATCCTCCTCTTGTCGTGCGTCCACCTCATGCATGACTTCGACTGCCATCGCCTTGCCTCACCAAAGTATGGTCTCCCCTCCCCCAAGTATGGTCTCCTCTCCCCCAAGTATGGTCTCCTCTCCCCCAAGTATGGTCTCCCCTCCCCCAAGTATGGTCTCCTCTCCCCCAAGTATGGTCTCCCCTCCCCCAAGTATGGTCTCCCCTCCCCCAAGTATGGTCTCCCCTCCCCCAAGTATGGTCTCCCCTCCCCCAAGTATGGTCTCCCCTCCCCCAAGTATGGTCTCCTCTCCCCCAAGTATGGTCTCCCCTCCCCCAAGTATGGTCTCCTCTCCCCCAAGTATGGTCTCCCCTCCCCCAAGTATGGTCTCCCCTCCCCCAAGTATGGTCTCCCCTCCCCCAAGTATGTTCTCCCCTCCCCCAAGTATGGTCTCCCCTCCCCCAAGTATGGTCTCCCCTCCCCCAAGTATGGTCTCCCCTCCCCCAAGTATGGTCTCCCCTCCCCCACTCTCCCCCTCCCCGCCCCATCAACCTCCATCCCACCACAGGCACATATCCCCTCCAGTGCACCCTTCGCCACCCTCCCTCTCTCCCTCCTGCCCCTCGCCCTCCATCCCACCACAGGCACACCTCGTACACTAAGCCATTCGGCCCGTAGAATTCTAAAAAAACAGACCCTCCAGCCCACCAGAAGCACATATCCCCTCCCCCGCATCCCCCGCCACCACCCTCCCTCTCTCCCTCTTGCCCCTCGCCCTCCATCCCACCACAGGCACATCTCGTACACCAAGCCATTCGGTCCGTTCACCTGGATAGTGGTGGCGGTGCTGTTCCTGACCGTCTCCACCATCCTCCTCTGGACGAGCATCCAGCTCATGCACGCCTTTGAGTGCGACTGCCAGCACCTAGCTGCCGCCCAACATGAGCTGCGTGCCGCCCGCTTGGAGGCTGAGGCGGCGAGCCGAGCCAAGGGGGATTTCCTCACGACGATATCGCATGAGATCCGCACACCCATGAACGGCGTCATAGGTATGCATTTGTTTCTTCTCTCCAAGCCTGTATGTTTGAGGTGCTTTGAAAGCAGCAAGCCGAGCCAATAGGGATTTCCTCACAACAATGTCGCATGAGATCCGCACACCCATGAACGGCGTCATAGGTATGCATTTGTTTCTTCTCTCCAAGCCTGTATGTTTGAGGTGCTTTGAAAGCAGCAAGCCGAGCCAATAGGGATTTCCTCACGACGATTTCGCATGAGATCCGCACACCCATGAACGGCGTCAGAGGTATGCATTTGTTTCCTCTCTCCAAGCCTGTATGTTTGAGGTGCTTTGAAAGCAGCAAGCCGAGCCAATAGGGGTTTCCTCACGACGATGTCGCATGAGATCCGCACACCCATGAACGGCGGCATAGGTATGCATTTGTTTCTTCTCTCCAAGCCTCTATGTTTGAGGTGCTTTGAAAGCAGCAAGCCGAGCCAATAGGGATTTCCTCACGACGATTTCGCATGAGATCCGCACACCCATGAACGGCGTCATAGGTATGCATTTGTTTCTTCTCTCCAAGCCTATATGTTTGAGGTGCTTTGAAAGCAGCAACCCGAGCCAATAGGGATTTCCTCACGACGATTTCGCATGAGATCCGCACACCCATGAACGGCGTCATAGGTATGCATTTGTTTCATCAAGCCTGTATGTTTGAGGTGCTTTGAAAGCAGCAAGCCGAGCCAAGGGGGATTTCCTCACGACGATGTCGCATGAGATCCGCACACCCATGAACGGCGTCATAGGTATGCATTTGTTTCTTCTCTCCAAGCCTCTATGTTTGAGGTGCTTTGAAAGCAGCAAGCCGAGCCAATAGGGATTTCCTCACAACGATGTCGCATGAGATCCGCACACCCATGAACGGCGTCATAGGTATGCATTTGTTTCTTCTCTCCAAGCCTGTATGTTTGAGGTGATTTGAAAGCAGCAAGCCGAGCCAATAGGGATTTCCTCACGACGATTTCGCATGAGATCCGCACACCCATGAACGGCGTCATAGGTATGCATTTGTTTCCTCTCTCCAAGCCTGTATGTTTGAGGTGCTTTGAAAGCAGCAACCCGAGCCAATAGGGGTTTCCTCACGACGATGTCGCATGAGATCCGCACACCCATGAACGGCGTCATAGGTATGCATTTGTTTCTTCTCTCCAAGCCTCTATGTTTGAGGTGCTTTGAAAGCAGCAAGCCGAGCCAATAGGGATTTCCTCACGACGATGTCGCATGAGATCCGCACAACCATGAACGGCGTCATAGGTAACGTGATATAGCAAGATAAATTGGTGATGCATATGATAATGTGATAGCATAGTAAGGCGATAACGCGGTAACCTCACCTCACGCAATTGATCATGTGAATGTCATCGATCGGATTTAACTTAGAATTGACTTAATCAAAGCTTAAGTCAAGTCGTTGCTTTGCGAGATTCTATGGCAATCAACGTTTCCATAGCATCGTGTTGCTAGCGTACTGTCAACCCTCTCCAGGATCAATCGGGCATCCACAGTGCAGATCTACTGACACGTACCAGCGTTCACCTTCATAGCGTTTTTTCGTTGAGTCGTGTAAAAACAATAATTGTCCAAGAAGAAAAGGAGGATATAATTGTTGCAAGTACTAGCAAAATCCCTACTAGTAAACTCAGAAGAACATGCGATGATCGTCAATCATTCGAAGCAACATAATCACCATGGCGAGATATAACTGCAAGATGGCGAACATGTTGGGTGTAAAAATCATTTTTGCATGTCAAGCAGTCGCCTGCATATTGTCTTGCATTTTGTGTGTGTTTTGTGCGCTTTCGTTTTTTCATCTCGTTTCGGACTTTTTTCGTTCCATGCTCATGATCAGTCATGAAATATCATGACGAATAATTTAATATCATGGAATTTCATGAATGCTAATGAGATGTCACACACCGTCGAGCCTCATAAAAACTCATGAGAATTCACGTGGTTTCATGACGAGTGATGAATGTTAATGAGGGCCAGTGTCATTGCCCCTCGAATATCTCGCGCTTAGTCAAGGTAAAAGCGCGCAAATATTTGGACCGCATGTGGGGTCCGGATCTCGCGTGTGGCCTTAGGGCTGACGCGTGGGGCCCCACGATTGCATCAGGGCAGGGCGATCAAGATTGCTCTGCCTGTGCAGGATAGCGCACGATCACGTCAACTCGCATTGATGCGAAACATATGTGTGTCAAGTGGAAGTAGCCAAAGAAAGCAAACATGCAAACACAACTGATTCTACAGATGGCAGGATGTTGTGCAAAGTTAATAAGCTGGTTCTGGAAACCCCTTAGGAGGAGCTGATTGCTATCTCTTTTCCTCCTTTCTCTCCCTTCTCTCCCTCCCTCCTCCCTTCCCCACCAGGCATGCTGAACCTGCTCCTGGAAACCCCTTTGGACGGGTCGCAGAAGGACTACGCACAGACGGCACAAAGCAGCGGGCGGGCGCTGTGTGCACTGATCAACGACATTCTCGACCTCTCCAAGATCGAAGCCGAAAAGTTGCACCTCGAGCGCATCCCGCTGGACTTGCGTGCCGAGCTCGACGACGTGCTCGCGCTCTTTGTGGAGAGCGCCCAGGAGAAGCGTTCTGTTGAGCTCGCGGCGTTTGTGGCCGACGACGTGCCCGGGATTCTCCTTGGCGACCCGCTTCGAGTGAAGCAGGTGCATATAGTGTTTGAAGTAGGGATGATGAGCAAGTACCGGACTCGAACCGGTATGATTATGTACCTGCGTGGCACATAATGCTGGTGCATGGCAGGGACAAAGACATGGCAGGGACAAAGACATGGCAGGGACAAAGACATGGCAGGGACAAAGACATGGCAGGGACAAAGACATGGCAGGGACAAAGACATGGCAGGGACAAAGACATGGCAGGGACAAAGACATGGCAGGGACAAAGACATGGCAGGGACAAAGACATGGCAGGGACAAAGACATGGCAGGGACAAAGACATGGCAGGGACACGTGAGCCGATCCTTGCAGCCTCAGTGTGCATCTGTGTGTGCATGTGTACGCCTCATCTCTTCCTTTAAGGGAGTGCCTCAACTCATCTCACCTCACCTCATCAGTGATGTACTCAAGTTCACTACCATTTCCCCGACCGATTCTCCCCCGCCCCATGCCTCTGCCGACCCCGACCCTGTCCGATGCCCCAGCACATCTCCGCCAACTTTTGTGTGCATTTGCTTGCGTGAATCCTCTTGTTTGCATACGTCATATCCTCATTCAATTTCAGCACCAATGCTTTCCTCCCCCCCACTCCCCCTGTGCAATGCCACTGGGGGCCTCCTTTCCCCTCCTGCCTGCATGCATCAGATCCTCATCAACCTCATCAGCAACGCATTCAAGTTCACCACCAACGGCCATGTCTTCATCGCTGTACGCGTCGCAACCCCCACCGACAGCAGCAGCAGCAGCAGCAACCACAACCCCCCACCGCTGCTCTCCCCTTCGTCCTCCACATCCTCACCTTCACCCTCACGTTCACCAGCTGTATCACCATCAGCAGCAGCACCGTCACGCTCATCCTCTCTCTCCAAAACACCAGCCAGCAGCCCCCGGCTGTCAGACAAAGGCTGCAGCAGTGCAAGCAGACGGAAAGAGGAAAAGAATCCAGCTGAGGCCTACGGGGCCGCTGCTGCTGCAGATGAGAGGAGCGGTGGTAGTCAAGCTGTTGCGGAGGCGTGTACAGAGCCTGAGCGTGCGTGTGTGACACTGAGTGGCATACCAGCCATGAAGACATGCTGCTCGTGGGAGGGCATGCGGGAGCACATGGACCTTGCTGCCGTGGGCATGGGCATGGGCATGGGCATGGGCATGGGGATGGGGATGGGCATGGGCATGGGCAAGGCAATCTATACTAGGCATGGCGATGGGTGTGGACCGTACAGTGATGGGCGTGGTGAGGGATATGGCGATGGGCGTGGCAGTGGTGCCAGCGTGGGACCCGGCCAGCCTGTGCGACTGATGGTGGCCGTGGAAGACACAGGTACGCTTTCGATGCATCTGCGTGTGTGTGTGCCCGTGTGCGCCCATGTGCGCGTGTGCGCCCGTGTGAGCGTGTGCGCCCATGTGCGCGTGTGCGCCCGTGTGCGCCCGTGTGAGCGTGTGCGCCCGTGTGCGCCCGTGTGCGCGTGTGTGCGCGTGTGCGCACGTGTGCGTGCCTACGACGCGTGTGGGGTGTTGAGTTTGAGACACCTCAAAATGCGTGTGCGCGAGTGCGCCCGTGTGTGTGCCTACGACGCGTGTGCATCCGTGCTCCTGAATGTGTGCGAGCGTGCATGCGTGTGCTTGCATGCCTGTGTGCGTGTGTCTGCTTGTTTGCTCGCTCGCCGCTGTTTCATATCGTGCTCCCAAATGCTCTCGAATAACGAGTGGACCAGCTACAGCCTGCCACTGCCACATATCCCCTCCCACATGCCACACAGTGTGCAGTGAAGAAGTGAATCAGGAGCATCTGTACTGTGCTTTTTGAGTTGACTCAAAAGTCACCTAGTCCCCACATGCCACACAGTGTGCCAGTGAATAACTGGATCAGGAGCATCTGTACCGTGCTTTTCTTGTCTTTGCTTTTCCTTTAATTGTCAACGCCTGGCCTTGTTTGTAACGGCATCAATCACTGAGACGTCTCAGAACTACAGTAGGCAGGCCAACGAAGCACCTCCTCCTCCTTTTGTGTGTGTGTGTGTGTGTGTGAGTTTTTTTTTTTTTTTTTTTTTTTTTGTCTAATGAGTATGTATTATTTTGGATCTTCTTTGACTTCGCTGCCTGGCCCTGTCAAACCCTGCAGGTACCGGCATCCCCCGCCACGCTCGGAAGCACATTTTCCAGCCGTACGCGCAGGCAGAGCGCAGCACGGCACGGCTGCATGGAGGCACGGGCATCGGCCTCTCCATCTGCAAGGTGCGTTGCATCGGGGTATTCCACGTGGCATGGGCATCCTACTTTGCACGGTATTTTGTGTTGTTGGGCATCCTACGTTGTAGGGATGAGCAAGGGGCGAACACGAGCGCGTTCGTGTTCGCCCCTGCACAAACACATCCGTTCGCCGAACAGAACAAAAACAGATGTTCGGTGTTCGCCTGTGAAGGCGTGTTCGGGCGAACCTTGAACACGTTCATGTTCGACGCGGGGCAAATTGCAGCAGCGGCCCGAACACGAACGTGTTCGGGCGAACCTTAAACAAGTCTGTCACGAACACTTTAAGCTTAAAAAAAACTTGTTCGGTTCTTTGCTCAACCCTACTACGTTGCATGGTATTTTGTGGTGTTGGGCATCCTACGTTTCATGGAGGCATGACCTCTCCATCTCCAAGGTGCGCTACATCGAGTCAGCTGTGTTACAGACAAATTACTTTGCATTGGGACACCTGCTGTGCGAGGTGCGTTGCATCGGGACAGCTGCGTTACAAAGTACATTGCATTGGGACATCTGTGCTGCAAGGTGCATTGCACCCAGACAGCAGCCTTGCAAGGTACTTGGCATAGGGAATCTGCCTTGCGAGGTACGTTGCATTGAAGCACCCACATTGCCCCTCCCACCACCACCACCCCCCTCACTTGCCCCTCCCACCACCCTTCTCCCTCCCCTCTCCCGCTCCCCAGTTGGAGCAGCGCCTGCTGTCGCTGATGGAAATCCATCATCCATCTCCACCTGCCCATATCCTTCCCAATCCCAGCCTGCCGCTTCCCACTCCTCTCTCTCCCCTCTCGCTGCAGCGCCTGGTGCCGCTGATGGGGGAACCTTTCTCCACCTGCCCATATCCTTCCTAATCCCGGTCTGCCTCTCCCCAATTCCCCCCCCTCCCCCCCCTTCTCCCTCCCCAACCCGTGCAGCGCCTGGTGTCGATGATGGGCGGATCCATCTCGTTTGTCTCAAAGCCCGGCGTCGGCACCACCTTCCTCTTCGATATCCTCCTCCACACACCCCCTCTCCCTCACCCCCCTTCCTCTCACCCTCCTTCTCCTCCTCCTCTTCCTGCTGCCTCCTCAGCCTCCCTACACTCGCCCGCCAACCCTTCTAGCACCCCCTTCATCCCCTCTCCTCCTCCTCAGCACTCCTGCCAGTTGCCCCAGCAGCAGCAGCAGCAGCAGCAGCAGCAGCAGCAGCAGCAGGGGGCATGTGGGCTAAAGAGTGGGAGCAGCGACTGTGGTGGGAGGGCGGCAGATGCACGAGAGGGAGGGGGCATATGTGTGGCGATCAGTGGGAATGACGGGAGGGCGGCACGGGCATGGGAGGGCGTGTGTGCGGTGAGCGGTGGGAGTGGTGGGAAGGCGGCGGGTCCTCTAGAGGGCGTGTGTGTGGCGAGTGTGGACGACCGGGCGGTGCGGCATGCCGTCACTCTCTCTCTGCTGCGCCGCCTTGGCATCTGCACCCTCCCCTGCCCCTCCTTCCACCTCCTCCCCTGCCTCCTCGCCCAACACCGCTCTCTGCACCATGGATCGTGCCACTCCTTGCACCATGGGTCGTGCCATGCCATGCAAAATGACTCATCTGATGCGATGGGCCATACCAGGCACCATGGGTCATCGAGGCAGGCCATGCACTCTCCCAGGGAGCACCAGGCGGGGCAGCAGGCGGGGCAGCAGGGAGAGCACCAGGAAGAGAAGGAGAAAGACAACGCTGAGCTTGCTTCTGAACCGTCTCTTGCTGCTAAGTACCTCGCTCGCCTCCTTTCACTTAGTCCCAAGCACATCCACCCGCCTCGTGCTCCTCGCGCCGTCTCTCTCACAACCTCAACAGCAGCACCCTATGCACCGGTCAGTCATGCACCTGCCGCTCAGTCAAGCACCGCTCCCCCCCGTCGGGTCAAGTCACACTCTGCCCTGTCAAGCCTCCCACTACCCACCTCTCGCCACTCCATTGCACCGCAGAAACCCCACCCGGCGCCATTTTCTCTTGCTTTTGAGAATTCTCACAAACCCCACCCGCCGTCTTCTCTTGCTCCCCCCCCTCCTCGCCGCGTCAAGTCACACACGGCCCTGTCATGCCTCCCACTACCCACCTCTCAACTCTCCATTGAATCCCTTCTAAATGCTTCCTCCACGAATTCTTGTGAGGCGCACGAAAAGTCCCACCAACCGTCTCCTTCTGACCCTCCCCCTCTACCGCGCCGCATCAAGTCTCACACTGCCCTATCACGCCGCGCACTACCCACCATTCAGAGATCCATCGGAGCCCTTATAACCGCTTCCCCCACAATACGCCCCGCATCTCGTGATCTATCTCTGGTCCCGCTGCTTCCAGCCGACTCGTGTGCACAAGCCCATGCAGGACCATCCAGCAGCCACTCATGTCATTCTATTGAGGAGCTATCCCGTCCTCTCGAGCATTCTGTTCCTCTTTTCGACCCATGTGCCTCTACTACCGACCCGCCGTCTGGTCCTCTTGAGCCGTTTGGCTCGCCGGCTGTGCTTTTGGCTCCTCCAGCTCTCGCCTCACTTTCCCGCCAGTATTCCTGCCCTCCTCTCTCAGTCGCTCCTTCTCTTCCCCGCCCTCCTCTCTCGATCGATGTCCATTCCTCTAGCGAGATAAGTGCAAGGGGAAGGGAGGGGAAGCAGCAGCGGCGGTGGCAGAAGCAGGCTGCAGGGAACGAGACAGAGGTGGAGGAAGAGGCGGGGAAGGAGGGGGAAGACGAAGAAGAGGTGGAGGAGGAGGTGGATGGAGAGGAGGAAGGAGGGGAGGAAGATGGAGCAGGGAAGGTGAAGCAGCGCGTTTGTCAGAATTCTCAAGAATCGCAGCAGCGAGTGCATTACAGGAGGCTGCGTGAGGCGCAACGACGGGGATGGGTGGGAGCGGTGGTGGTGGAGGGGGAGATGATGCAGCGGCTGGGCGTCTCAGCAGATCAAATCTACGCTCTCATGTCTGGCCGGGCGGCGGGTGAGAGTGGTGGAGGTAGTGAGTGCAGCAATTGCAGCAGGTGCAATTGGCCTGTTCCCTATCTTGTGCTTCTTCACGGCTCTTCTTCTCTCCCCCCCGACAGTTTCAGCCCTTGCAAGAGGAAGGCTTTTAACGGGGACAGGGAGGGCAGCCGCAAAAGGCAAGCAGGAGGGTTAGATGAAAGGGAAGAGGGGGGTGATTGTGAGTGTAAACCGGGTGACTGTAACGATGTGACGAGGGGCTGCCCAGGCAGTAGGAGAAGCAGGTCTTCTGCTCTGTCCCTTTCTCCCTCTCCAACCATCCCTTCCATCGCAGCGCACCTCTCGCCCTCACCTGTGCTATCCCTCTCGCCCGCCCCATCCATCCCCTCGCTATTGTCACTTGGCTTTGATGCTGTGATTAGAAAGCCCCTTCGGAAACCGGCGCTGGTGGCGGCACTTCTGCCGCTTTTCAGTGCGGACACGGAGCAAGGTGAGTGTGGGCAGACAGGAGGAGGAGCAGGGGGGGCAGGAGGAGAAGAAGGGGCAAGAGGAGCAGGAGGAGAAGGGGAAGCAGGAGGAGAAGGGGGAGCAGGAGGAGCAGGAGGAGAAGGATGCAAGCAAGAGGATGTGGCACAGGGAGGGATCATGAAGAGAGAGGCGAAGGGGCAGTGGGGGGGTGGTGTGGCGCTGAGCCCGTCGGCCCTCCACAGGGCTAGCAGCAGCGCTGCAGCAGCCCTCTGGCGAGCTGTGACGTCCCCACGAACACCCAAGACTTCACGGGAACTCAAGTCCCCACGGGAACTCAAGTCCTCATGAGAACTCAAGTCCCCACTAGAAATCAAGTCCCCACGAGAAATCAAGTCCCCACGAGAACTCAAGTCCCCACGAGAACTCAAGTCCCCACGAGAACTCAAGTCCCCATGGCTCAAATCCCCCCGGGCACTCAAGTCCCCGCGGGCACCCAAGTCCCCCCGGGCACTCGAATCCCCTCAGTCATTCAAAGCCGTTCCCTTGTGCCCCTCCCACTCACCCACCACTCGCACCACTCCCACCAGTCCCAACATTCCCACCATTCAAACCACTCCTGCTACTCCCAACACTCCCACCACTCATAACACTCCCACCATTCCCAACGCTCTCAACACGCTGGGCACTGGTAACACTGCCCAACCCAAACATGCAAGCCCCATTGCAGCACCAAGCACGTCACGGCCCTCACCCACAGCAGGCAACTGTCCCTCTGCCGCTCTAGCTATGGATCCCGCACTCAACCTCCTCCCCCTCTCCCCTACTGCTGCTGCTGCTTCTGCTGCTGCTTTTGCTCGTGCTACTTCTGCTTCTGCCGCTGCTGCCGCTGCCGTTTCTGCCTCTTCTCCTTCTGCTCTGGCTGCTGCGCCTCCTGCTCCAGCTGCTGCACCTCCTGCTCCTGCTGCTCCGAGTGCTACTGACGATCATAGACTCTCGCAAGAGGCGGCTACATTGGCCCTGAGTGCAACTGACTGTGCATTGGAGGCGCAGGCAGCCCTAGGCATGTGCGGCGGAGGCAATGGAGTGGCAGTGAGGGAGGGTGCGGAGGTGGAGGGGGCAGTGTTGGATGAAATGAGTGGCTTGGATGGTGTGGATGGTATGTATGGTAGCAATGCCTCAATGGATTTAACATCGGCAACCAGTGCTACTGATGCTGCTTCGGTCAGCCTAGCGTCTACTTCCGCCGCTGCTGCTTCTGTCAATTTGACTCCTCCTGCCGGTGCTACAGGTGCTGCTTTGATCGATTCAACACCTGCTGCCTCTGCTGTTGCGAGTGGAAGTGGCATTTTGGGGAGGAAACCACTGGTGAGGGTTGGCAGTGCCGATGAGAAGGTCTTTTATTCGCCCCAGGGGTTGCAGTTGCAGTGCTATGTTCCTCAGGGGTTGCGAGCTCTGGTGAGAGGTGGCAGTACGGTGGAAGCAGCTGGGGCAGCAGCGCGTAGAGCAGAGATGCATGGGCCCAAGGGTGAAACGAGGGCAGAAAAGCATGTGTCAGCGGGTGAAAGGAGAGCAGGTGGGAGGTCAAATGGGAGTCATGGTGATCGACAGAGAAGCAGGGATGGCGCTTGCGTTTCTTCTGGTGCTGCTCCCGGTGCTGCTCCCGGTGCTGCTCCCGGTGCTGCTGCTGGTGGCTCTGGTTCTGGCGCTGCTGGTGCTGGTGCTGGTGCTGGTGCTGGTGCTGGTGCTGGTGGTGCTAGTGGTGGTGTTGGTGGTAGAGTGCGTGGTTTTGGAAGTGTGCTCGACTTCTCAGGGATCCCTCCCCTGTATGCTCGCCCTGCGTCATCCTCTTCCTCCGTTGCGACACTCTCCCCTGCCAACACCCGCACACCATCCCCATCATTATCACCAACACCAGCAGCTGCACTCCCACCACCAACACCATCATTCCCAGCATCATCCATAGCAGCAGCATCAGCAACAGCACCAGCAGCAGCACCAGCAGCCGCAGAAGCCCCAGCAACAGCAGCAGCAATAGCAGCAGCAGCAGCGGCGGCGGTGGCAGCAGCAACTTTAGAGCCGGCAACAGTGGCGGAGGGGCTGGCAGTGCTGTGGGATCGGCAGGTGATGGTGGTGGATGACAACCTCATCAACCGCAAGGTGGCCAGCAAGCTGCTGGAGAGGCACGGCGCGCGAGTCACCGCCGTGGATGGCGGTGCCAAGGCGCTTCAAGCCCTCACCCCGCCCCACCCCTACGACCTCGTCCTCATGGACCTCCAGATGCCGGGCATGGATGGGCTGGAGGCGACTCGGAGGATCCGAGCGCGGGAGAGGGCTCAGGGCGGAAGCCATGTGACCATCATTGCGCTCACAGCGGATGTGACTGCCGGCACGCGCCACCACTGCTTTGCTGTTGGCATGGATGACTACCTCTCCAAACCCCTCGACGACGGCCCCCTCTCCCACGCCGTCTGGCGCTGCCTCGTTGATAAATTATAGTTTGTAGATTCCGATATCGGTATTACTTCCAACCATGATATATACTTATTATTTTATAATGGTGCCTACCTTTTTTTGGTAATGTAAGTGATGTGAAAACTGTTTTCCCTTGCAGGTGGTTTCATGTGGTTTCGCGCGAGTCGCGGCGCCCGAAACGAACGTCGCTAACGTCGGGAACGCGTGAGTTGACAAGCCCAGCGCCAGGTGGTCTTCGTCACAGATGTTTCCACGTACGATTGGGAACGCTTTAGAACATTCAGAAACAGTTCTAAACCCGTTCCGCGAGGTGTTGCGAGTTTCCAGCGTGGTGCGTAGCCCGTTTTGGCGGCATGATTTGCGGCACCAAATTCTGGCTTCACCGAACTGTACCATCCAAATTCGGTGCTGCCCAGTCACATGCCGCGAAGTGGGATTTGAAGCATCAGAAGAATTCAGGATAATATTGAAGACGAGTGCCTCACTGAGGCAGCACGTTTGCCTCTTCAGCACGCCTTCTCATCTCAGTGACCGCCAACTTCCAGCTCGCAGGAACCAGTAGTTTACGGTAAGGCCACCTGGGACCGCCATCCCACATAGCGGCTCGCGAGTTTGTTGGCGCTCCCCGATTCTCGAGTAGGCTGCTCTTCTAGTTATTAAGTCACGTGGGCTTTTCTTCAAAAATCACTCTCATTTTAGCCACTGGCAGATCGAGCCATTCGTCGCAAGAATCACGTTTTATTTTAGTCTAGTACGAATTCCTTTAGCCGCCACGGCCAAGATGTCGCTGCGACCCGCGTTCGTCCTCGCTGGTGAGTTTTAAATTCGAAGACCCCGGCGCCTGTTCTTTTTCTCAAATGATGAGCTCTGGCCGTCAGGGTTTCTAACCAATTTTTGGTGGTCACTCCCTCAGCGACAATCTGCTCGGCAAATTCTGCGTGATGACCTCACCACCAATTAACAAATCAGTGAATTGTACTGCACTTATCCAGGGGTTAGAAGCGCTTATTCAGTAATTAACCTAATCTCTTCGTGCACGTACCCCTGTGCAGTGATGCTCTCTCTCACCTGCAGCGCCGTCATCGCGGAAAAGGGAAGTGCCAAAAAAAACTTTAAAATGGCTCTTTCGTAACTTTGCAGTTGCATTCGCTGCGCAAAAAAAAAAGTTTGACTCGAAAACAGTGGTAGCGTCAGTCACTTGCGAAGTGACTTTTCCGTCACCTTCCCAACACAAACTGTACACTTTGACACAATTGTGAGGTATACAGTAAAGCAACTAGGGGGGAGGAAAACGTCACTCTTGAGCAACCTATGCGAAAGTGTCACGACAACGCCACGTGGCGTACGATGTACGCTGGATGACACTGAAACATGCTGACGTGACATTTTCTGTACGCTACCGTCAACCGTCGGATCCTGACAATATTAACGCCCGTAAATGTGCCATGTGGACCAATTCGACACGAAATGGGGTGTACGGTATCGAATTTCATTGGCTGGCAATTTGATGGTTCCGGTTGACGGTTTTCCTCTATTGGTGTGCGTTTCTGGTAACAAGTAGCACATTAATTTTTACGTTCATCTTACAGGGCATACAATTTATAACAAAAAGAGTACAATTTACCCAGCAGTAATACACTACGCATTATGCACGGCTAAGAAGCCCTGCACACTCTGCCAGTTAAAAAACGAATGTAACCTGGAAGAACAAAGGAAATGGAAACTTGATAAACAAGCAATATTATATGCTCAACATTGGGGTTTTTAGTATTGGAGTATGTTGTAATGGTGAAGAATAATAATACTGCACTCATGGTTGACGGTAAGCCTGCAAAACAAGACACGCTCTGCAACACATACAAATACAGCGTGATGTTATGTATCCCAATGACATTGCTTCAGAGGGGTTAGTCATAGCAGATTTTGCTTGACACCAGTAATACTTACCCTTAGCACAGTCAATCGCGGGGGGACTATAAGCGACGACTGTGATGCGATTGCAACAGACTTAGCTGCAATCGTAAGAAGGGGTTAAATTTATACAAAACAAAAAATGAACATGACATGGCAAAAAACTAAACACATCGCGTCGCAAATAGCGTGCATACCCTCACGGAAAATGCTGACATCCGTCAACCGAATCGGTCGACTGCCTGAGTCGGACGTATGGATCTTCGCGACAATAGCTGCTACGCACGAAACAAATATATGAAACGCCACATTGAAATGAGTATGAACCTGAAGATACCAGTTAATTAAAACTGGACGATAAAAAAATATATATACAACTTCACCTGTGAGATAACAACGGTAAACGTACCTCCGATGTTGCGTGACAATGTCCTTCCTCACCGCGACTCACGTGTACCCCAGCATCCAGCGAAGCTACTGAAGCGCGACGTTGATGGCGGAACGAAGCCGCTGTCTGAGGAGAAGAGGGATGTGGAAAAGGGACAGAGTTGGCAGTAATAAATTAAGATACTAACTTGGCTAACGCAACATAGTCAGGGCGATCTAAAACGCCACATAGTTGTCGGCTTGAAGGAACTTGGAGCGCGCTTCTGCTGTACATCAAAGGGAGAAATAGAAAGGGGGGGGGGAGAAGGAGGTTGGTTGTGTGTATTAGTACGGGGGACTACAGGCACAGAGAGGAATCGAGGGAGATGGATTCTCGAGGAAAAGGTGAGAGCATATTCGGTGGACGTTTGGTTTGCCTTGGTTGGGTGGCTGACGTGTATATTTCGGCGTATGCGGATTGGGTGTAAATGATTTTTAGGCTAACACGTCACACTTTGTCAGAATGTTATAATTATCTAGCCTGTAGTGGGGTGCTCTATAGCGAGTACAACCCTGTTAGGGTTTGCTATATATATCCCAACTGCTGCTAGTGAACCTCCTCTCTTCTTCATTCCTAATTTTCACATGCTATCAGAGCATCTACGCTCCTGGCCTGTGGGCCCACCTCACTGCTTCCGTTGCTACTCTGTGTTCGGCACGCCCCGTGGCGTGCCCCTCGCGCTACTCTTAGCGGCCCCGTTGCCGCCCTTCCCGGCCCCTCGCGGCCCCTTTGCGGCCCCGTTGCCGCCCTTCCAGGCCCCTCGCGGCCCCTTCGCGGCCTCGTCGCCGCCCCTTTCGCGGCCCGTTGCCGCCCTTCCAGGCCCCTCGCGGCCCCTTCGCGGCCCCGTCGCCGCCCCTATCGGCCCCGTCGATGCCGCCAGCGGCCCCGTCGCCGCCGCCAGCGGCCCCGTCGTCGCCGCCAGCAACCCCGTCGCCGCTGCCAGCGGCCCCGTCGTCGCCGCCAGCAACCCCGTCGCTGCCTCCAGCGGCCCCGTTGCCGCCACTTGCGGCCCCGGCCCCGCCCCGGCCATGGCCCGTCGCCAGCCGCGGCGCACCGGGGGCACGTGCACCGCCCCCCCACCCCCCCCCCCCCCCCCCCCCCCCCCCCTTTTCCCGTCGCCTGTCGCGGCTCCTTCGGGGACCGCGCGACCTGGGGGGGGGGGGGGCGAGCGTCGCCCCTTCTGCCGCCTGCTTTGGCGCACTGGGAGGCCGCGCGTCGCCCCCCCCCCCCCCCCCCCCCCCCTTCCCCCCCCCCGTAACCTCCCTACCCGCCATCCCGCCCTGCCCTGTGTTAGGGTTTGGGGGTGGCGAGTGGGGGGTGGCGGGTGTGTGGTCTCCCCTGCTCCTCCTCCTCCTCTGTCTCCCACTGCTGCAGCTGCCGCTGAGGGGGGTGGGTGTGTGGGAGTCGACGGAGTGGTGCTAGGGGGTGGGGTGTGAGTGAACCTAGGGGTGCAGTAGGGGGTGTGTGAAATGGGGGTGGGATAGTTTGGGGAGGTTGAAGGGGGTGGCCGCCGTGAAGCCAGCAGCTCCAGTCGCCCGTGAGACCGTTGCGCCAGTCGCCCGTGAGCCCGTTGCGCCAGTCGCCCGTGAGCCCGTTGCTCCAGTCGCCCGTGAGTCCGTTGCTCCTACCGCTCAGAGCTAGCCGCGGAGCCAGTTACTCCAGTAGCCCGTGTGCCAGTTGCTCCAGTTGCCAGTGTGCCAGTTGCTCCAGTTGCCCGTGTGCCAGTTGCTCCAGTTGCGCCATGTGCCAGCAGCTTCAGCTGCCGCCCTCTACCTCCTCTCCTCTCATAGTCCCTCCTCCTCCACACTTGCCCTCTGCGATAGCCTCTAGCTTTGCTTACATTTGTGAACTTAAAACTGTTGCTTCTTGTACTTGTGCTCAGAATGTGTGGTGACATTGTGATCCACCCTGAGCTTGTTCTGCTTTGCTTGCTGTGCTGATTACACCCCACTTTGGCTATGGGGGTGTGTCAGAATGTTATAATTATCTAGCCTGTAGTGGGGTGCTCTATCGCGAGTACAACCCTGTTAGGGTTTGCTATATGTATCCCAACTGCTGCTAGTGAACCTCCTCTCTTCTTCATTCCTAATTTTCACACACTTCTGAAAAAGCCATCCACTGTCTGAGGTTTGGAGTTGGTTGGTTTGGGTTTAGATTTGGGAAAAATGAAAGCGGGTTTCCAGCTGTACAAACTCGCTTGGTTTCGTTGCTTCGCGTTGTTTCGTTTGTTCTGTTGTTACATTTGACAAACATTGTCAAAGTACTAAACCGCTTGTAATCTGTGTTGACCGTGCGTCACCGCAGGACGCAAAAATGTTGACGGAATGGCAACTTTTGCGTGACAGTTTAGTTTCAGTCAAACCCCTCGAAACTGGTGTGCGGATTGTTGCATTTTGCGTGCGTTGTTTTTTGTACACTTCGCGCAACTAAGTCGCAGTTTTTTCGCAGAAAAACCTTCGGACCCCCCAAATCGCAAATTTCCTTTTCCGGGATGGTCGCCGGCCGCCATCTGCTTCAAACTGCCAACACTTTCTATACGGCAGACTAATCTTGCTGCTACGACTTTCTTGTTTAAGCACTCTCTACTTGTCTGCGTCATCTTTCTCTAAGAACCATCATCATGTTGAGTAAACGAAGGGCAGCCCTATGCTCCTCCGCTTCCTGCCATGATTCTGTCATTACTCCC